AATTTTGTAGAAATGATTTTTCAAGTGATAAAAAATGACATTAAAAAAACTTCTTAAGTGTTTTGCAATAATTAAACTTTGCTTTTTATAAATATAACAGTTTTTTCCTTCTTCTTAGGTGTTTCATTTAATCGGTGACCAAAACATAAACACTGAGCTTCAGACAAGTTTAAATGATGAAAAAAAAAAAATGAGTATTGTTGATTATTGGTAAACATTTACTCAGTTCAAAAACTACCAACCGAAGAAAAAATCAGAAAAAATATTTTTTATTGCTTTGCTGTTGAAAAACGTATCATTTTATGGCTATAGGTCTTTTTTTTGTTGCTGTTCTAGTTTCCTTCTGCGCTTTTTTTTCTGATTTCACATTACGGTTACAGGTTGAATCTCGTGAACAGTGTTTATCGGCTTGTCTGAAGGAAAATGAATTTGTGTGTCGTTCAGTAAATTACCACTATGACACATTCCTATGTGAACTTTCAACAGAAGATCGCCGTTCCAAGCCGAACCATCTGCGGCAGACAGAAGACGCTGTTGACTACTATGACAACAATTGTCTTAACCGTCAGTTTTTTCTTCAATTTACTAAATATTTTGGGAGTAAAAAAGAGAAGAGGAAGAAGAAAAAAAATGATGAAGCAATTTTTTTGATTCTATTACTAAACTTTTTCTTTATTTTTGCCGTTTAAGAAAGAGAATTTTCTTAATTGCTGTGTTAATTTTGAAGATTTTTTTTTGGTTGTTATCTCGTGCCGGAAGGCTCAAGATCAATAATAATGTACCTCCAATTCCTTGATCCCTTACAGATGTTTTAAGTAATTGGCGTTTTTTACAATTATTTTTTCAAATTCAAAGCATCTAAAGGAGAAGGAAGGATAAACTGGAGGGAAAGGTGTTGATAGTAAAAGAAGAGGAAAGAGAAGAGGTTTTTTTGTGCTGCTACTGGTGATAGAAGTGGAACATGAAAATGGAAATTCGGTTAAGAGGCAATAAGGGAAATTTTTTCTTTTTAATCTATGATTGTGTTTTTTCTTTTTTTTTTTTTCTTTGTTTTTGCGGGTTTGGGTCTTCAGGCAGTTTAATCAGACAAATCCCATTAGATTGCACAAATAACAACAACAGTTCTTTTAACGAGAGAAAAGGCAGAGGTGATGAAGGTGGGAAGGGGGGAATAATAGAGGGAGGAGGGGATGAAATAGATGAGTGTAAGAGGAGAAATGAAAGGAAATAAGATAAATTAAAAAGAAAATTCACGGAACAGAAGAAAAAGTTTTTTGGTATATAAAATATTTTCAATTAACGAGAATGTGAAAAAAAAAAGCTTTTTGTACAACAACAGCAATAATAAAAGATCATAAAAAATTATTTCTGAAAAATTTTTTTGCACTTAGAAAGTTTCAAGAAAAAAAATTTGTTTTTTTCCAATTATTTGTTTAAGGGCTTTTTGCCGTTGCCGTTGCTACTGCTGCTGCTACAAATTGACAACGGTGAAACAAATTCATATTTTTTAATAGCTTTTCTTCTAATTTTTTCCTCTTTTTTTTTTTTTT